GTCCAAGACGTCGATGGATGTTAGTGATTGGCATCCCATCATCCTCGCAGATTGTTTCACTCACACCAGACTTCTTGCTGCCAGTGGCTCGGATGAGCTGGAAGAGCTTCCGGTAGTTACCAGATGCAGCTGCTGCTTCCAGCTCATTAGCACGCATCGACCACCAGGCTTCTCGGTCCTTACGCAAGCTTTGCCCAATTTCCTTACGTAACATCCTTCGTTTATGGTCAAACTCACGGTCACCCGGAGTAGACCGACGGGCTTCAATGAGTTGTAAGGAACCAGAAGAAACCCAGTGCTTAAAAGCGGGACGTTTCGCAAACCCACAACTGACTGTTCCCGCCATTTTCATGGCGTCATGCAATTGCAACCAATGCTCATCTATACTTTTCGGTGGAGTGGTAGCTAGCCTAGAGGCTAGCTCGGTTCGATACTTACTTGCAACAGAAGTTGCAACCAGCTTGCTAACATCAATCCTTTGATGATGGTCACTTCGTTGGCCACTGAAAAGTAAGGCAAGATTGGCGCAGACCAAGGCATGGTCAGAGTCCAGATAGGTACTCCAAAAGGAGCGGCAGTCTTGTACACAACCACGCCAGCGGTAGCTGATCGCGATGTGATCAATCTGAGTCCAGGCTTGAGATGCAGAGGGAGGACGCCAGGTGGCACATCGGCGATGACTGTGCCGAAAGTTAGTGCTAGCCAGAAACAGGTTGTGGTCTGTGCAAAGTTGCAGTAGACGGTCCCCGTTATCTGACCTGCGACCAACGAGTCCCCATCGGCCACCTAAACGACTCTCTTCTGTGCCTAGACGCCCGACCTGAGCATTCAAGTCTCCGGCTAGTACTACAATATCTGTCGAACGCACTTTCTGGAGAAGAACAGATAACTGGTGGTAAAACTCATCCTTGATTGCATCCGGGCTGCAATCTGTCGGGGCATAGGCGGAGATGACGAAAAGACATCGTTTCTCACGCCGATTTCTTCTCACTTTGATGGAACTTTCTAATCTAACAGCACATAACCGACTGTTAATGGGGATCCAATCGACTAGTGCTGCCTCAGCTCTAGCGCTTAGTGCGACACCAACGCCAGCAAGACCAGACGAAGATGCCACAGGGTCCCCGGATAAGCGCACGTAAAACAAGCTTTTCGAAGCGACAGATGGAGATCGAATTTGTAGTACTTCGCCAGAGTCTTGAATACGGGTCTCGGATAGACAACAAACATCAATATTAAGACTTTCCAAAGACATAGCCAGCCCTATCTGTTGTCCGACCTGCATAAATGTGCGAACGTTGAAGGCAGCCAGTTTGAATGGTGCACGTGGTTTCAGAAAAACTGCTTCAGTTCTCGTATTCGGTGGTAACATACAATTTTCAACCGGACAGTGACTCGAGAACGTTTAGATACAGTCGGATTTCCACCAAAGACGAGCCGCTGTATAAGTATAAAAGAGGGTGAATAATGTGGAAAATAATAATAATAATAAATAATAATAATAATAATGACAATAATAGTAATAATAATATATTAATAATGACAATAATTGTAGATGATAATAATTTAAATCAATTGATTGTTTTTCGAAGCGAGAAAAGCAATTTCCATAGACATAAAGAGTTCATCATTTGTGTGTGGGCTGTGGGAAGATGAAGGTTATGTGGTATGAATGTAAAGAATGGTTAGCTTTAAGACGGCATATTTATTTGAATACATAGACTTATGATATCCCACATGACAAGAAACTAGTGCAGAAAGACATCTTACAAATGTTTAGAAGAGAATAACCTATCTAGTGAAACATATAAAGAAGAGGACATAAGACCTGATACAATATGTCACTGGTCGGATTCTCACGACATCAAAGGCTATACATAGTTCGTCAGTGAATTACAGAAGAATACCCACACTTCCCTATAAAGTGTCAGTTTGGGAAGGACAGGAGGCCTGATGGCCTGTGTTAGTCCTGGCAATGGTGGTCTCTCAGTTGATCCAACTTTCTTTTGAAAGAATCGACGGATGGAGCCTCAACCACGTGCTGAGGTAATGAGTTCCACTCGTTGATGATTCGATGGGAAAGCCGATAGTCAGCTGACAAGTAATTTGTTCTTGGCTTGTGAACTTTTTTGGACTGTCCTAGTAAATCCTCTGTTTTGGAAGACAAGAAAAATGAGGGCATATCAGGTGCAAATTTGGCACTAAGCAATTTGAAAACTGTAATCAAGTCGCCACTAGTTATGCGATATGGCAACGGGAAAAGGTTCAGCTTGGCCACCCGAGCTTCATACGGAAGCTTCGCTATTCCGGGAATCAGCTTAGTTGCCGTTCTCTGAATCTTTTCCAGAAGCTCACTGTCTTTTTTTAAGCAGGGGCTAGCCGCTTGTATGCAGTACTCAAGTTTAGAACGTACGAACACTGTATATAAAGTCAAAAACGTCTTAGCGTCGACATGACTAAAAGCCCTATGTATTGACCATAAGGTTCTAAAACCTTTGGCGGCTATTGGACGGCAATGTGCAGTAGTCTTTAAGTCTTGGCTAACGATGACTTCTAAGTCATTGTGTGTCTGGACAACCGGTAGCTCAGTGTTATTCATCGTGTATGTATCTGTACCTTGGTGACTGATATGCATCACAATACACTTGGGAGTATTTATCGGCAACTACCAGGTTTGAGACCATCCAGATAATTTCTCCAGGTCATTTTGGAGTTCTAATCTATCATCCTTACTTCATATCGCTCTCCATATCTTGACGTGATCAGCACTTAGCAAGAATGATGATGATGGTAGACGAGGAAGGTCATTTACATACAAGAGGAATAGCACTGGCCCCAAAACTGTACCCTGGGGCACTCCACTAAGCACAGTTTTCCAGCTAGATAATTTTGAGTTCACCCGTACTCTTCGTTGGCGCCCAACTAGGAAGTCTTTTATCCACATAAATAGATTGCCTCCAATTCCGACGTTCCTTAGCTTATATAACAGCCTGTTGTGCGGAACTTTGTCAAGAGCTTTGCTGAAATCAATGTGGGCTACGTCTACAGGTAACTTTTGTCCTTAAGAGCGCACCAGCTTTCACGATCCACTAATAAGTTAGTGAGACAAGAATAACCTATTCTGAAGCCGTGCTGCTTCTCCGAAAGGATCCGGTTTTTATCGAGATACTTAAACAGCTCCTTCCGAATAATCCTTTCTGAGATTTTAACAGCCACACTAGTTAGGCTAACGGGGCGGTAATTCTCAGGTTTATGTTTCGTACCTGCTTTGATGACAGGACTTACTATGGCGTTTTTCCAGTCTTTGGGTAAACGATCGTGCGTTACGGATAGATTAAAGCATATACTTAAAGGGTTAAATAATTCCTTCAGCAGCCTAGGATGTAATTCATCGGGCCCCGTGAATTTACCTATGTCAAGCTTATTTAGTAGACCAAAGACATCGAATTCTTTAATGGTCACGCTATCCAGTGTATGTGTGGGGGGAGATGTATGCGCTGATGGGAAGGGTGCTTCTATGGTGTATACATTGCTGAAGTAGTTTGAGAACATTTGAGCCTTACCAAAGTCGTCCTCCACTAGTGACGCGGCAGTACTGCCTCCCCATAGAGCAGGAATATTTCCTCTTCTCTTTGTACTTTGGTTTATATAAGAATACAAGCGTTTAGGACATTCTATGGATTCCTTAACAATGTTTTCTTCGTACAACATTCTAGACTTACGGAGGGTCGAGGCACAGGTCATATAAAAACAGAATTAAAAGGAGGGACATTCTGTTTGCTGTAATTGAGTGGTAATAAATTTTCTCAGCTAATTAAATGAAAGATATCCTGGTCAACAAGGGCAATTGATGTTTTCAACGTAGCATAGCATGAAGCAGTTTTCATGATGGTGCTTCATTTTAATCGCCAGCCAGTGAGTGAAAATTATGACGTCAAAAATAGTGGGATTAACGCATATTAAGTAGTCACAATGATCTGGATGTTTAAAACCAACCGCAGACATCCAAACAGGTGAGAATAAGAGCTGACTAAAGCACAAACACGTATAAACGATTAAAACGCCAATACAATTCCCAAACCCCATAAATAAATTTGTCCTCTAGCACTGTCCAGCCTTTTTTTCACGTTTTTTTACTAGAAATATGTTGACTTAAAGCTTATCACTAAAACCCAATTTGGTCAGATAGTTTTACTTGATAATAGGATTTAGACAAGATTTAACTCAAATAATAACTTCACAGAGAGGGGTTAAAAATTAAATGTAACTAACGGTGGGAATCACTGACTATTTCGACGTAAATATACCTTAGCAAATGTACATAGGCAGTAACGGAGGAAATTTTCAACCGGAGGCACATAAATACTTAGCAAGGGCAACCAACGTTCAATACCATTGTACAATTTATGGTCCAATGATTCAGAATCAGATTTGTGTAGTAAAGACAGAAGGCCTACAGCCTTTGTTATTCTTTTTAGTATACCTCTGTGAGTGCCTAATCTTTTCTGAATGAGTCAACTGTATATGCAGACACCACTGCTTTGGGCAACAGGTTCCAAGAATTGATGACCAGTATGCCACGAGTATTTTATTCGCTCTAGGCTTTTCTACTCGCCTGCTATGTTCTCTGAGATGTACCGATTTAGTGGGGAGAAAAAGAGGGGATATATCAGGTCCCAAGTCATTTCTTGGTATTCTACACATCAAAATAAGATGAACTCTTGATCTGCGATAGGACAGAGCAGTTTCAGTTTCAGTTTGGAAAGGACAGGAGGCTCGATCACCTGTGGTAGTCCTCGTAATGACGGTCTCTCAGTTGATTCAACTTTCTTTCGAAAGAGTCGATTGATGGAGCCTTAACCACGTGCCGAGGTAATGAATTCCACTCGTTGATGATTCGATGGTGAAGGATGTGACACAAGTATTCAGTGTTTGACAACGCTTCTACCAGTAACACCTAATATGATTCGTCCCCACCGAGAGAAATCAAAAGACAGAGTCGAGGAGATCGGAAGAGTGTATTTGGCGATTACCAATATATCGGAATTCTCTGATCTAATCTGGCTAGCGATTGCGGTTGATGTTGAGCACGGCGTTGCCACACGTGATCTGGTGCGGATGCCTGACCGAGCGCCTTCAGCTAGATGAGTCCACTAAAACATATGGTCAGCATCCAATGTCGAAAACTTAGAGCTATTTATTTTGGGGATTTATTTACCGCTACAGATCACTCCCCCCTTAGTGGGGCAGTGACGACCCTAAGACGTGGCCAGCCAGAAGTTTAAACCCAACGAGTTTGTCGTTGGTAAACACTCTTCTGATAGCTTACTAGCAGCGTCTGGTCGTCTTTCCTTACTATATGGGACCGAGGTACAGCATAGTAAAAAAAGAAAAAGTACAATGAAAACTTCGGCTCCTAGTAAACTGCATCGTTCTTTTCCAGCCGTCCTGGAAAAGAAAAAAGAAAGTGTAAGTGCATGTCAAAATACACTCGTACGTGCGTAAAAACACAATGTTGGCCCAAAAAATGGAAAATAAACTCGAGCACGTAATAGCGTTAAAAAAATAATTTTGTTTTTGTTTTTTTTTGAATAAAAATATAAATATATAGGCATATTAAAATTTTTTTAAATATTATATATCGTAAAAAGAAAAATCGAGATAATATAAAATGTCGAGTAGTGCCTTACGTGCAGTAGTCGTTTAAATGTTTTGCAAATCTTACTCTTCTTCCAGAACGCATCGTTTTAGGTTTATTTTCAGATACATTCAGAGTATCACCACTAGTGTTGGTTGTCGGTTGAGGAATTATGAGTGTAGGAGTCGTGTTGTGCGATTGTACTGAAGGAAAATAGCCGTGAATAGGATTTCCTTCTAAATACGCTGCTTTTAAGCGATCGATGCTGATGCTATCGTTTCTTCCGTTCTTATCGACTATATAGTACTTAGATTCATGCTGAAGAACTTTTAAGGGTCCTTCGCATGCTGATTCGAATGGTCGTCGATACGAGTCTCGACGAACGAAAACGTGTGTACTATATCGTAAGTCAGGTTGAACGAAAACATCGGTTGATTGTGGTCGAGTGGAAGCAGGTTTAACTGAACGCATTGCGTTTGTAAGCCTGTTCGTGTAGGAGGTTAGATCCATGTTCATTGAAGAGGACGAAGGATCCACGAATTCTCCTAGAAGTCGAATTGTCGTTCCATAAACGAGTTGAGCCGCAGTGTACTCAATGTCAGCTTTCACTGCATTGCAGATACCTAGTGAAACGAGTGGAAGAGCGTCCATCCACTGTGAAACGTTTGCAGCTGATAGTGAAGCTTTTGGTTGTCGGTGAAAACGTTCTACCAACCCGTTTGCTTGTGTGTGGTAGGCCGTCGTTTCGAAGCGAGTGGTTCCTAAAAGTGTGGTCAGACGACGGAAAAGTTCAGATTCGAACTGACGTCCGCGGTCTGTAGTGATGGTTGAAGGGCAACCGAAGTTTGCTACCCATCGTTTGACGAAGGCGCGAGCCACTGTTTCAGCAGTGATGTCCTTGATAGGTACTGCTTCTGGCCATCGAGTGAAACGGTCTACGCAGGTTAAGAGGTAAGCGTATCCATTTGAATCTGGTAAAGGTCCTACCAAATCCAGATGAACATGGTCAAAACGAGCATTGGGAGTTTTAAACGAGCCTAAGGGACATTTATTGTGTCTGATAACCTTAGATTTTTGGCAGCTTACACAGGAGCGTGCCCACTCCCTCACGTCTTTATTCATTTCAGGCTAGCAAAACCGCTCTGCTATAAGCTTGATGGTTGCACGGACACCTGGATGAGAAAGTTTGTGCAATGTATTTTAGACATTGCGTCGATAATGTTTCGGCACGATTGGGGGATCCCTACCTGTAGATGTAGTGGCGTTACTGACCAGCAAACATGAAGGTGGGGAGATAACTTCAATCCACCCATGTCTGTAGGGCAGAACATTTTGTTTAATTACGGCTCCTTATGGTTTAGTGGGATGTCACGGACTTAAGGTATTGAAGCTGATTTATCACGCAAAATACCTCTTTAAATCGTGTTACGAACGTTAAATTGGTTTCACTTCCTACTCAGAAATCCTATTACAAGCAAACTAGACAATTCGCTAATATACGAAGCCTACTCAAGACCCTATAAAACCTTAAAAAAAAACGAAAGGGGCTCTAATAGCTTCGATAATAAAAGGAAGATAGCCAGTTGTATATCACAATACTGTTTCTAGCACTATATTTTATTATATAATCACACATAATCTTATACTCTCAGCTCTTTTCCGAGTCGCCTCCATTTGTCAGTTGTATGTCCACTCACACCTTGCTAAAGCTTATTTTCTTTAACCTATTAAAATGCTCTTTCTTAACAAATACTTTAATAAAAGAAAATTAGACTGAGTAATCATACCTTAAACATTCCTACATGAATATTGGCTACTCTGCCTCTCGTGTTTTCTTTTACTTCCTCCCTCTTTCAGCTCCCTTGAGATATGGAACAGGTTACATCATCCTGCACCATCCTTAAAGCCTTGGATATCCCAAAGGGACATAAGGTTGCGATTTCTAGAAGCTCATACCTTCAATGGACCTATTCTTGATCGTCAGTCGCACATTCGCAACGCAACTCTCGTGAAGCGCGCCAACTGTGGTACTGATTAAAACAATCTACATTCATGTCTTATAAATTTTCAACCCAGCTATGTAATTTAATACAGTGTATATTGTATCATTTGTATCAATTTGATCTTGCCTGTAAACTGGCATGCCTCATGTAACAAACTGTTATTTGAGAATAAATTATTATTATTATTATTATTATTATGTGTCACAAAGTAAGGTTTAGTTACCTGTTCCCATCTGTTTGATGCGTAGTTTCAGGGTTGTGGCCGGTAACTCGTGCTGAAGATCAGTGTCTTCTTTTTGAAGCTCGGCGAGTTTAAGAAGGTCGATTCCTTGGAAACTGTTCAAGGAAGTTATGCGAGATGAGGCGTCTGCAACTACATTGTTTGCTCCAGAGATGTGTTGAATATCTGAAGTAAACTGCGAAATGTAGTCCAGTTGTCGAGACACACGGGGAGAGTACTTACCTGAAGGAGAGCTTAACGAGAAAGTGAGCGGTCCGTGAAAAGAGTGAATTCACGGCCTTCGATATAGTGTTGGAAATGCCGTACAGCACAATACATAGCTAGGAGTTCCCTACCGAATGTGCTGTACCTCGATTCGGTGTCTAGCAACCTTCTAGAGAAAAATGCCAAGGGTTGCCGAGAGTTGTTAACCCATTGTTGTAAGACTCCTCCGATTGCTGAGTCGGATGCGTCTACTGCGATGCTAATGGGTGCTTCGGTGTCCTGATGTGCGAGCATTGTTGCTTTAGTGATCAGTTTCTTTACTGTGGAGAATGCTTTTCGTGCGGTGTCGTCCAAATTAATGGATTTCGCATTTCCACGAAGTTGGTCGGTCAGAGGTTTCATAAGTAATGCGCATTTGGGTATGAAACGTCTATAGAAACTTACCAGGCCGTTAAACGTGCGTAATTGCTTGACGGTGGTCGGTTCTGGGTAATCCAGAATGGCCGCCACTTTGGTTCTAAGGGGTCGGATACCTTGAGCATCGATAGTGTGTCCCAGAAAGTCTAATGAGTCGGTTCCAATATGGCATTTCTGAACGTTTACAGTTATGCCATGTTTTTGTAATCGTTCGAAAACAAGATCCAGATGCTTGAGATGTGTTTCTCTGTCCGGACTTGCGATTAGACAGTCATCAACATACGCGTGTACGAAGTTGAGACCTCGAAAAACGTCGTCTATGAATCTTTGGAATGTTTGAGCAGCGTTCCTTAGACCGAAAGGCATTCGCAAAAATTCATAGAGTCCGAAGGGAGTTATGATAGCTGTTTTCGGTATGTCGTCAGTAGCCATAGGGATTTGGTTATACGCTTTAACCAAGTCGATTTTCGAAAAGACAGTTGTACCTTTCAAGGTAGCTGTCAAATCGTGAATGTGAGGCAACGGGTAACGATCGGGAATGGTTTTCGCGTTCAATCGCCGATAGTCACCAGTTGGACGCCAATCGTTGCTGTCCTTTTTAGGGACCATGTGCAACGGAGATGCATATGGGCTACTTGACGGTCGTATGATTCCTAAGTCTATCATATGGTCGAATTCGTTTTTCGCTAACCTTAGCTTTTCAGGAGCTAGTCGTCGTGCTTTAGAAAATACAGGTGGTCCTGTAGTCGTGATGTGATGTGTAACATTGCTGGTTACACACGGTAGTTTCGGTTGAGTTTGTTGTATCCCAGGGTACTTATCGAGTAGTGGTTGATAGAGTGGGTCTATCATATGTTTAACTGTGACTGGGGATACTCTACAACCAGTAAAAGAAGTTACGCAAACGGACAAATTAGTGTTTCCGTCTACTAGCCTCCGTTTGCGCGTGTCGATGATCAGATTGTGGTGTTGTAGAAGGTCCATACCAATGATTGGCATAGAAACATCTGCAACAACGAAAATCCAGTGAATGGGTTTGCGTAAACCCACGTTAAGGTAAACGTACCTTTTGCCATACGTAGCGATCGGTTTTCCGTTTGCCGCCTGTAAGTTTAGGGTCGATTCGTGAAGTCGGTCGTTAGGATTTGCTGGGAGAACGCTAACTTCTGCGCCAGTGTCGACGAGGTAGCGAACTCTCGTTGTCACATCTGTGACGTATAACAGACGGCTATGTTTGCCGGCTACGGTTGCCGTTAACGCGTGCCGGCTTGGAAGTTTCCCGAGTTGTTTTTCGAGTCATCGGTTTCGTGTTGGGAAAATTGCAGGGTTTTCTGGAATTTCTGGAAAACTTTCCATACTGGTTATGATACCAGCACCAGTCGAGGTTATCTGTCTCTCGTGGTCTAGAGACAGATCGCATACGTGAAATGCTTCTACGTGGTGTGCGCGATCTCTTACGGTCGGTACGAAGACTAAGATAACGCGTGAGTGTGTGACATAAGTCGGTTATATCATTCTGGGTCGTTGGAGGCTTTTCTTTGACTGAAAATACCTCGGTAGTAGAAGGTTTCGTAATTTCTAAAATGCGGTCGGCAGATGCAGCTAGCTCGTCTAAGGCGTTGTTCTGGAACGAGACCAGAACTGCTTGCACCTATTGGGGAAGTTTTGACAAGAAGAGTTGTTTGAATAGACTTCCGTCGAAAGTTCTTGGGCCTATAATCTCTCTCATCCGTTGCAACATGTCTGTCACAGAACCGTGTTGCAGGTCAATGTTATTGAAGAGTTGACCTAAACTTTGTCGATCGGTTAGGTCTCCTCGTTTAAGAATCGAGCGCTTTAAGATTTCGTAAGGATCGGAAACATCACTAGTAAACATACTAGGTGTTACGTACCTGTTGAATTCGCGCGGTAGTGCCTCGACTACTGCGAGGAATTGTGCACGTGCGTCGATCACGCCGTGCTCGGAGAAGTCGGCTTCTGCGTAGCAAAACCAGGCTTCGATGTTGACGGGCCAGAAAGGCATCAGTTGAAACGAAGGCGGGGACAAGGTCTTAAGCTTGAGTACTTTAGGTGTCTGTTCAGTCATGATAAAGTATGAAGTACGATAATGAACGATGGGAAAAAATATATATATCCAAGAAAAAACACAAAAAAATCACTATGTTTAAAAAATAAGGCAATGACATATAAAAATCCCAAGAAGGGACAGACTCACAGTTGCAATCAGGTGTACCAGATCACGTCGGTCTCACCAATGAAGATGTGACACAGGTATTCAGTGTTTGACAACGCTTCTACCAGTAACACCTAATATGATTCGTCCCCACCGAGAGAAATCAAAAGACAGAGTCGAGGAGATCGGAAGAGTGTATTTGGCGATTACCAATATATCGGAATTCTCTGATCTAATCTGGCTAGCGATTGCGGTTGATGTTGAGCACGGCGTTGCCACACGTGATCTGGTGCGGATGCCTGACCGAGCGCCTTCAGCTAGATGAGTCCACTAAAACATATGGTCAGCATCCAATGTCGAAAACTTAGAGCTATTTACCGCTAAAATGGAAAAGTCGTTAGTCAGCTGACAAGTAATTTGTTCTTGGCTTGTGAACTTTTTTGGAGTATCCTAGTAAATTCTCTGTTTTGGGACACAAGAAAAATGAGGGTGAAAATTTATCACTCAGCAACATGAAAACTGTAATCAAGTCGCCTCTAGTTCTTCGACATGAAAACGGGAATAGGTTTAGCTTGGCCAGTCGAGCAGCGTACAATGTCAGAAGAGTTTTAGCGTCGACATGACTAAAAGCCCTATGTATTGACCATAAGGTTCTAAAACCTTTGGCGGCTATTGGACGGCAATGTGCAGTAGTCTTTAAGTCTTGGCTAACGATGACTTCTAAGTCATTGTGTGTCTGGACAACCGGTAGCTCAGTGTTATTCATCGTGTATGTATCTGTACCTTGGTGACTGATATGCATCACAATACACTTGGGAGTATTTATCGGCAACTACCAGGTTTGAGACCATCCAGATAATTTCTCCAGGTCATTTTGGAGTTCTAATCTATCATCCTTACTTCATATCGCTCTCCATATCTTGACGTGATCAGCACTTAGCAAGAATGATGATGATGGTAGACGAGGAAGGTCATTTACATACAAGAGGAATAGCACTGGCCCCAAAACTGTACCCTGGGGCACTCCACTAAGCACAGTTTTCCAGCTAGATAATTTTGAGTTCACCCGTACTCTTCGTTGGCGCCCAACTAGGAAGTCTTTTATCCACATGGACTTCTTAAATCCCAGACAATTCTTAACTTTATCGAAAGCTTTGCTAAAGTCAGTGTAGGCTACGTCCACAGGTAACCTTCGGTCTTTAAGAGCGCATCAGTTTGCACAAGGTGTAGCTTTTCAAGCCACTTTTTCTATGGAAAACCCTGGAATTCTGGATTTGCACGGATGGCTACCCCTTGTACTTTTTCCGAAATATCCAAATCACCTCTCAAACAGGAGCTCGCAGCCCGAACGCAGTTTTCAAGCTTAGTTCTAACTAAGGCGTAAACTATGATGAACATGGTAGTATTCAACCAGGTGAATGTCTGTTTTAAAGCCCTTAGGATGCCATCGTTTCATTAGCCACGCTCAGATATTTATTATCATTACCACGAGTGAATATATCCTGTATAATATGTAGGGGAAAAGAGTATTGTACCATAAGTAACATGATAAAATACAAACAACCCTTAATTTACAATTGTTTTGTGGAGATTTTTAGAAATGTCAATAGCTGAAATCATGAGTCAACCCATTCTGATAATAATCATGTGCTCACTGGTGACTGACATCAAGAGGCATTTACTGGAGTTCTAGTGAGAAGCCGTTACCAGTGGAGTTCAACCAGGTCTGTTGTGAGATATCAACTCGCTGAAGACAATGGTGCACGGTGGCGCAGCCTCGTGGATTGGCGGAAGTTAGACATTAACACCGTTGGATGCCGGCTCAGTGGTTTAATGGTTAAGCGCTCGCGTGCAAGACCAATAGGTCCTGGGTTCGAATGTCACGAGGGGCGGGATCGTGGATGCGCACTGCTGAATAGTCCTATACTGGGACGAAACGGCCGTCCAGTGCATACAGGTTTTCCATGGTGGCCTAGCTTCAATTGACTCGT